CCCATGCTCTGTCTAAAGCTAAGAGCCTTCTGGGATGCAGCTGACTAGAGATTATGTTCTGAGTGCCGGCCCAGAACAGATCCATCGCAGTTCTAGCCCTTGTCTGGGGAAGGTGCAGAGCTGGTGGCTGAAGAGACCAGGGAGTGATGCTGGGCTGAGAGAAGTCTCTTCCTGTCTGACTGTGATGTGGGGAAGAGAAGACTGTACCAATGGGGGGATTCCTACCAGTGCAAATCAGCCACAGGAATTGAGCAAGACTGGGAATCCCACTTAAGGCCAACGCCTGCGGGCTTAGGGCAACAACATGGCCTTACACTCCCTTCCCTAGCAGAGAAAGGTACAGAAGAAGGCACCTCTCACAAAGGGCCTGCCTCCCACTGCTACAGCTGCCTCCTGCTCATTTGGTTCCCCTGCTGTTGTGCAGGTGTCTAGGAAGTTTGGTCACCTAATGTCTGTACCTGCTCCCCACCTGCCAGGACTCATGGGGAGGGATCAGACCTGCACGGCATTCCCCAAAGTTCCAGGCTGTCTGCTGCTAGGGCACAGACAGGGCCTCCAGGCTCAAGGCAGGTGGGCTGGGGAAAGGCATGGCATCTAACCATGGAGGAAGAACTTGTATCCCAGAAAACGTTCTCTGAGTCTGGGGTTCTATCACACATCTAGCCCCTAATCTCTCTCCCTTGCCAGCCCATGAAAATGCATCAGGACTCACTGGATGAGCAGCAGGAGAAGGAAGCAGCAGATGCAGAGCCTGTCTATGAGGAGGTGGGCAACTTCCCTACACTGTCCCCACTGGAGCTGGACAGAGGCCTCCTGGCTGAGCTGTCCCAGGTGCCTGCTGTGGACAGATCCGTGAAACCAGCCCTGTTCTCAGAGCAGTCTCAGCACCCAGCACTTCGCTCCTCACTGCCTCCAAGCCCAGGCCAAAAGGTGTCCAGCATGCCCTTTTCTAAGGCACTTTCCCTTGAAAGAGGGCTCAACCTGGAGTCTGAAAAGGCCCTGTACCACGCCAGATCATCTGGGCTCAGACCTACCAAAACAGCTTCCCTTGAGAGAAATCTAGAGCCATCCCAAGTACTACCTGCCTTGGCACGGGAGCAGGAGGCAGAGGAGAACCAGCCTCTAGTGTTAGAGCCCTTGTTTGGCAAGGCACCCCCTCCAGAGGCCTCCAAGAAGATCAGCCATCTGCCTTCACCCATCAATGATAAGCTGATGCAGGAGCTGAGCAGCGTCATCCTCAGGAAGAATGAGGGCCAGGCCCCTGAGCTTGGGCCAGGCCAGCAAATCACATGATCTCCACTGCTGGACAGGAGGACATGTGACCTTGGGTGGCAGAGCAGAGGCAGCAGGTCATATGACTAGTAGCAGCAGCTGCAAGGTCTGGGGTAAATGGACCTGTCATGTGGCACCTGAGTGCTCCCATGTGGACCATTTCTGCCTCCTGCCACAAGCGCAGGAGACAAATCAAGAGCAAGTATTTGAGACTAGAGGAGGCATTAGCTTCCCTGGCCTTTGGAGTGGAATTCCCGAGCCATGCTGTGTCAGATCAGATCTGCGGGGAAAGAGGGAGGATAACTGCCACTGTTAGCAGCTGTCAGGTGTGCCCCTCAAAGGTCTGCACCTGAGCAGTGTCTGTTAGTTACAACATTGCACCTGCAGAAAGCAGCCATGATGGCTTGGTTATCCCTCAACCTCATAGTCCACGTAGGAGGATGTGTACACAAAGATGTATATCTTTATGATAAAGGTGCATATCTTTATCACAAGCATCACACAGGATAAGTGCAGAGCACCACAGCTACAATTGTGTAAGAGCCTGAAGCAGTGGAAAGCATTGCAGAGCCAGACCCAGAAACAAAGGGAAGTTCCTGAAGGGGGGAAAAAAACAGGAGCTAAATCACAACAAGTCTGCAGAAGAACTGCCATTACGTATGCAGGGGGAGCTGCATATGCATGATCTCAATGTGTGGGTGCATGGCTCTAACATGCAGGATGCTTGTATGAGGAATGGGTGCATCTGTATACATGTGCATGTAATTCCAGTGTGTATGTTGCCTATGTGCCTCTCAGCCTTCCTAGGGGCTTACTTTCTTCTAGACAGAGGTAGACAGGGCTGGTGGGAAAATGGAAGTGGCAGCACTGATAAAGCCCATCTTCTTAATTACTAACTATTACCCAGACCCCACAGGTGGTCTGTGGAGGCTGTGTCCAGAGGGAAGACTGCCTTATAGCATTAGTACTCATCCTAAGCAGAGAGAAAAAGGAAAAAGTAGAGTCAAGGTTGGAGGGCATCCTGGCAATCAAGTACCCCTCTCTGCTGGCCTGCAATGCTCTGACCTGTCTTGTTGCCACTCCATGTGTATTATAATATCTGTATATACTTTATATATGCTGCCTGGAACAGGACCAGGGGATGTGTACTGTCCCTGGGCAGGAAAAGTGCCATCTGGGAGATGGGGACCTTTATAACAGAGGATGAAACTCGCTCTGTTCCAGAATATTTATATCTGTTTCCTCCACCTTCCATTTGAATAAAGTCTTTGTACCTCCAGACAATACGATTAGTGCACATTGACTGGGTGGGGGGAGGGGAGGCAGGTAACAAATATGGCTGAAGCAAGAATGGAGAAGGGGTGATGAGGGCAGGGGTTGAGGCATGAAAATGATGGGCAGAACCAACAGGAAGGATGTAAATGGTGCATGGGAACCAGGCTGGTGTGTCAGCCCAGCATCATGGGCTGCTGGAGGGAAGCAGAGGCCACTCTGGGCAGCCTATGGGAGAAGTGATTATTTTAATTACTTGACTAAATATGAGCTGAGGTGCCTGAGTTGGGTTGTGAGCCTAAAATCAGCTTTATGATTCTGGGTGGTCCTACATAAGTTGACTCACCCTCTTGGGTGACCCATCTTTGCAATAGAGATAAGTAGCTCAGTAGGGACTGGAGTTGCTCCCTTCCCAACTTCTGAAGGCACAGGGAACACAACTGCTTCAGTCTAGAGGGAGCACTGGGAATGCCACTGTGTGCAGGGTCTCAGCAGCACACACTGCTTTTTTTTGCCTCAAGTGCTGTGGGATTTTCAACCTGCAGGTCATTCACTGCATCCAGAGTCTAGGCTGGCTGTGTAGCAAGGGTAGGGAATGGCCAGAACAGACTATGCTAATCTTCATGGTAATTGAGCTCTCCTGGGGTCTGGGCTGCAGTACATCAGGTGCATTTGGTGATGCAAAGCCATGTGTTTCCATCTTTGAGAGAGGTCACCCATATTCCTAAGGCCTCAGCCAGCCTCCTAGCCTTCTGCTTGCCCAGCTTGGAGGGGACTGCCAACTCTTATGGCACAGAAATGGCACCAGGTATTTTCTTAGGCTGGTGGATCCATGCCATCTCACTGCCTATCCAGCTTGCTAGCTGCCCTGTATGCTGTTCTGTAAGCACCTTGCCTCCATCTCAAGGCCAGATGTCATGGGTTGCCACTGATAGGCAAGGTACCCAGGGAGCTGGTAGCTGCTGTGGTAGGAGAAATTGGGTCCAGCTGTACCTACAGACTAGAAAGCAAGGGGAGAGCTGTTTCTGGGAAATGCAGTGCCAAGCAAAGTGCCTGGGGCTTTTTTTGTCTGAGGAACTGATCCTCTTAGTGTCAACTGTGAAGGTCTTGTGCTTTGTGGTCACACACCTCATAGTGTGCAACAGAGGAAGCCCGAGCTTCTCTAAGAAGTGTCCTTCTCTGTAGGAAGCAGCCCTGTGAGAATTGAGCTGGATTTCATGCCTCATGCTCTGTGGCTTTGGTTTCTCGGAGAGGCAACAGCTGAGGAATCAGTTAAGATGAGGCAGGAGTTCATATAAAAAGCCTCAGCACTGAAACAGTGATTCCTGTATGAAGGGTGGTTGCCCATTCCTTCCCACAACACCTTGGGCTGATCAGGAGGGGAGGTTGCAGGTGTGCCATGGGAAGACAGTGGTATTGTGCATGTTCCATATTCCTGCTAGAGAGGTGAGGGGGCAAAGTGCAGGATGAAGATCACAGTGGCCTGCATGCCACACCAGGGTCCCTGAGGAACAGCAGGGAACTGGAGGTCATGGAAGGAGCTACACAAGGCCTTAGCAGGGTAAGAGGAGGGGCAGGGGCAGTTTGTGCTCACAATGCTGGGTGATCACAGCTGAAACAGGTGAACTATGGCAGGGGTCAGCAACCTAGGAAGTGGGGGCTGGATCTGGCCTGGAGCCAGGGGCCTTTGGTGATATTCAGCGGCAGGGGACTTCTCCCGTACCACACCATGGTGGGGCAGCAGGGAGTAGTGGTGATGGCCAGGTTCTGGTACTTGCACACCTTGGATCCAAGCTGGGTCATTCCAGCCTGCCGCTGGAAAGCCATTTCTGACCCTTGCTATGGTCATGGAGTTGAGGGCCCAGGTGGGACCCAGGGACCATCCCCAAACTGAGTCCCTGGACCAGTCACATAGTGACTGCAGCAGGGGGAGCAGGTGTAGCACGTAGTGCTCAAGGAACAGGTGTCCAGTGAACAGTTATGCCACGAGACTTCCTGGGGAGGAAAGGTTTCAGCTGTAAATCAGTCACTGGAGAGACAGAAACAGTAAAGGTAGAAATCACCTAGACTTTAGTTTTAAGAACCATGACTGATCAAACACTTCTGCTTTGCTTTGAGCTCTTTTATTGGTGAAATTACAGTAATTTCCAAACCATGCTCCCAAGTGTCACCACTGCACAATCTGCAGTCAGCCTGAAATGAGAGCTTGGTGGTGGTTTCTGCCCCACAGAAACATACCAATGCTGCAAACCACATCATGCTGTTCCATTACAAGATAAGCACAGAATATTGTTTTTTGTTCCCATGATTTCGAGCTGCTTTATCAGGCGCTGCTCTACAATACAGGTGCAGATTGTCAGTACATGACACACTGAATCATGAGTGTGGGCTGAGTGCAGGGTATGAACTGAAAACCAGTACAAGAGCCTGCAGCCCACTAAACGGGGCACTCTTTCTGTGTTCCCAAGTAACTCTGCAAACATCCATGTCTGAACATGCAGGAAGCAACACCAGCTCTGACCACAGAGACTGTAAGGCAAGGGCAGAATCCAGCTGCATAGAGTCTGTGGTCTGGCAGTGACATGGAACTTGTGCCCAAGCAGCATGGAGTCCAGTCATTGTGTGCCAGATGGGGCAACTGATTATATAGGCAAAGCCAGGGAGGATTCAGAGTCACACTGGGGTTACTGCTTACAGGCTCCTGTGCCGCATCTCTTGTTGCATGCTGCCCACCCCTTGCACGAAGCATGACTGACCACTGGGGCTAATTTGTTTGAGTCCTCCACACAAAAAGGTAAAGGAAGAACAAAGCAAGACCAACTATGATGGCTCTAGGGGACCACCTCTGCCCCAGCCTAGGGCTGGTTCTGTTCACTGGACCTCAGAGGCAGCACTAGGTTCTCACAGGCCCTGGCCAAAGCCTTGTCTTGCTGTCTCCAGTGGCAACAAACCATGTACCTGAGTTGGGTCCGGAAATCCCGGGAGATGTAGAAGTAGATGAAGGGGTCAAAGCAGTTGTTGAAGGCACTGAGAGCCAATGCTAAAACATAATGGATGTAGGTGCTGTTGCGGGACAAGGATATGCCCTGTAGGTAGTGGGAAAAGAGCAGCACATTGCTGGGGGTGAAGCACAGGGCAAAAACCAGTAGCAGGAGAACCAGAACTCGCACCACATGACCATAACGTCCCCTCGTGGCAAGCAGGTGTGCCAGCACACAGCCATAGGAGAAGACAATAATCACAAAGGGGAGTGCAAACCCCAGAACTACCAGCGTAGGAAAGTAGTAGGCCAGGTACTGGGTTTCTGTGGACTTCTCCAAGAAGTCATGGCAGGTGGTGATGTTCAGCTGCGGGACATGCTGTGAATGGCGGATAAGCAGCAGTGGACTCATACCCAGCCCTATGGCCAGCCACACCCCGATACAGATGCCTACTGTGCCACATACTCGTTCAGAGCCTCTCCAGATGAAGGGGTGCACCAGTGAGACATACCGATCCAGGCTGATGCAGGTGAGGAAGAGGATAGAGCTGTACATGTTTCCATAGAAGAGGGTGACAAGGGCCCGGCATGCATATTCCCCGAAGAGCCAATTGTTGCCCAGCAGGTGGTATGAGATCTTGAAGGGCAGTAGGAGGACAAAAAGCAGGTCAGCACCTGCCAGGTTCAGCAGGAAAAGGGTGGAGGCACACTTCTTGGTCTTGGTGGCCAGGACCCAAAAGGCCATGGCATTGGCTGGCAGCCCAACTAGAAGTACCAGAGTGTAGAGGATGGGGAGGAGGCACGTGGTCACTGTACCACTGAGATGGTCCTCTGGGGAGGCACAGCGGCATGTGAAATTCCTACCTGTTTCCTTGCAATTGGAGATACGGGTCAGGGCTCTGCCTTTTGTTACTCTTTTCTCTGTGGGGAAACGATAGGAAAGTGGGTTAGGACACTCTGTGGATCTGCATTCCAGGAACACGACACTCTGCATGTGGACTGCCTGCATGCCTCCCTAGGCATGGGTCTGGTGGGCACACCACCTACCTGCACTCTGCTAATCCCCAGCAGGGGTTGTGCACAGGTAGGAGGGCTTTTGGCCTTTCTGAGAGAGATTAAGCAGAGAGAGATCTCTGAAAAATCCCCATTTTGCAGAGACATATCCAAGGTACAGAGAAAACAAGAGGCTTTCTGGGGCTGTAGACAGTGAGAAGGAAAAATAGGAATAGAACTCAGGGGTCCTAAACCACAAGACTGTCCTGTCCTCCCCTGTATGGAGCCACTAGATGGCAGTGGTCTTCTAGCACATCCCTGTTGGAGCTGAAGGTTTGTGGATCCAGTCAAGGGCCACCTAGGTTATGCTCTGCCTGGCTAATGAACATTGTAATTCCAGTGTAGCCCCTTTTGGCAACAGTTGGAGCTGCCCTAGCCCCCTTCCACTGCCTAAAACACACTAAAGCAGCTGCCCCTGGGCAGAAGGATAGGAAAGGGAGGCTTTGGAAATATCAGTTCCTCCTCCAGCTCACCAAGCAAGAGCAGCTTCTGATAGGGCAGCTCTATGTTCATCATTTTGATTTGGGGGAAGCAATGGATCTTCCTCCAGCTCAGTGTTTGGGGCACTTACACAGAAGTGATGCCCTGGGGTGCACAAGCCCTGCTAGAGACCCCACCTCCATCTTAATTATGAAGGCAAGCAGCCTGAATGCAAAGAATTGCCTGAGTCCCGGGACTGGACCATAAGCCCTGGCCTCATGTGTGGGTGAGATGGTCTTCCCAGACCAGACAAATAATATTCAGAGCAGGGCTGAAGGGTGCTTCTGTGCAGTATGCATGCCGACAGCTGAGGGCTCCATAAGTTCTGCACTGTGGATCAACCCAAACAATGCATGACAAGTGGAGTTGGTAAGTTACCTTGCTGACAGCCATCCATGTTAGTGACTAAGCTGCAGAGACATATCTACAAAACTCAAGAGCTGCAACTGTGGCCAAGCATATGCTTGGGAAGCAGAGAGAATGTGCAAGGTTAAAAAAAAATACCTGGCAAGTTTTCTGTGTCAAGCAAATGAGCTGCTTACAGCACGTGAAACAATAACCCCAGCAAAGTTTCATAGTTTCATAGTAGCTAGGGTCAGGAGGGACCTGAACAGATCATCTAGCCTCCCCCCCTGCCACAGGCAGGAATGAATGCTGGGTTCACAAGACCCCAGACAGGTGATCATCCAACCTCCTCTTGAGTTTGCCCAAGGTAGGGGTGAGGATCACTTCCCTGGGAAGTTGGTTCTAGATTCTGGCCACCCTAACTGTAAAATATTGCCTTCTGATCTCTAACCTAAATCTATTCTCCATCAGCTTATTACCATTGTTCCTTGTCACCCCAGGTGATGCTGGGGGGAATAGGGCTCTTCCTATTTGCTGATAATCTCCCCGATGAGTCTGTAGGCAGCCGCCAGGTCCCCCCTTAGCCTCCTTTTGCCAAGGATAAACAGGTTCAGGTCCCTCAGTCTCCTCATAGTCTCTCCTCATAGTCTCCCTTCAGTCTGTCCTGCTGCCCTCTCACCAAATGGGTTGCCCTCCTCTGAACTCTCTCCAGGCTGGCCGCATCCCTGTTAAAGTGCGGCACCCAGTACTGGATGCAGTACTCCAACTGCGGCCTGACCAGTGTCGCATAGAGGGGGAGCATCACCCCTCTGGACCGGCTTGAGATGCATCTTTGGATGCATGACAAGATATGGCTGGCCTTGCTAGCTGTGGTCTGGCATTGGCGGCTCATGTTCATCTTGGAGTCGATAATGACTCCAAGATCCCTTTCTACCTCTGTGCTTTCAAGGAGGGAAC